CGCTGGTCGGCGAGGGCAAGCTTCGGAGCTTTGGCTGGCGACCATGGCTCCTCTCGAGTCCCCGGGGCACAACTCCGAAGCGGCGGGCGTGGACGTGCATGTGAGGGACATGTCCGACGCCGGCCTCGCCATCGATCGGACGTCCATTCCCAATGCACTTTTCGGTTTCGCGAGTCTACTCCCTGAGACCCGACGTTGCGAGCAAAATAGTAACATCGTGAGAAACCACGACTGGAGTCCAAGACCCCATCCTTCTGCGTCATTTTTCGAGCCGCGTCGATCAGTGAGGGCCCCGGGGCCCGAGATCGGGCGAACGCGCCCCGTGCGAAAAGAATGCAACGCCAGGATCTCAGGGCTGTTCGCGAGATTCGCCTCGAGGGTCCTCGCCGGAGAACAGCGCGCACGTCCGAGCGATGCCAGGCGGCCTCTGCTCGGAGCGGCGCGCGCCGGGAGCGGGAGGCTCTGGGGCCCCTCCGCGAGGGGCGTCATTGCAGGGGGGCTGGCACCGCAGGGGGAGCATCGACCTGGCATCGGCGATGCAGCGCCGATATATTGTCCCGGGCTCTGGGCCCACGGGCCCCCCCCCCTCCCCCCCAGATGGTATGGTCCCAGGATTCCTCGGGCCCCCCCCCCAGATGGTATGGTCCCAGAGACGACGACGACGACGACGACGACGACGACGACGACGACGACGACGACGACGACGACGACGGCGACGGCGACGGCGACGGCGACGGCGACGGCGACGGCGACGGCGACGGCGACGGCGACGGCGACGGCGACGACTACGACGACGGCGACGACGACGACGACGACGACCACGACGACGACGACGGCTGCGGCGGACGACGACGACGACGACGACGACGACGACCTCTGAACCACCACAGCACCACACCACATCCACAGGGGGGGGGAGGGGGGCACCGCAGCGCAGCACCACGCCACGCCCACCTCTGAACCACCACAGCACCACACCACATCCACAGGGGGGGGGGGGGCACCGCAGCGCAGCACCACGCCACGCCCACAGGGGGGGGCGGGGGGGACCATCGCGCGGGGGGGGGGGGGCCCAATGGCATCAGCATTGGGGGGGGGGGGGGGCCGAAGCCCTGGACCATATATAGATCAGCGGTAGGCCCCCGAGAGCGAAGCCCGCACGTTCCTGCAAAGTGCGGGCCAGCGGGCCCCCATCGGCGCTCAGTGGGCGGTGGGGGGTCGATGCCTCCCCCCCTGATCGGGCCGGGCGAAAGTTAACGGGCGAAGAACGGTATAAAATAAACTTTTTCGCCGTCGGGGACACTGCCCCAGGGCGGCTGGAAAGTTTATACCCTTACGGTGGCACCGTAGGGGTATAAACTTTCCAGCCGCCCAGGTGCAGGTGTCCCCGACAGCGAAAAAGTTTATGTTATACCGTTCTTCGCTCGCTGAGAAAGGGGGGGATAGCAAAGGCCCGGCCCGACCTGAGCCTGCCCCCACCCACCCCCCAGCGTCGCCCCTGACTCCAGGGCCACAGGCCATGGCCGAAAGAACAGCCCCGTCTCCCACGACGGAGGCGGCGGGTCGCCCCGAAGTGGGGCAGAGGTCGGCCGAAGGCTCAGCCTGCGCAGAGGTGCACCCCCTGCCCCCCCCGAGGTCTCTGCGTGCCCTCAGGGGTCCCCCCGAGGACCTTTGAGAATCCGGATCGCACCTCTGCCACTCGCTCACAAGCAATACGCCGTCGGGCAAGTGGGCAAGACATCAAGCTCCAGCAATCGCAAGCAGAATTGGGGGGAGAAACTCTGCGCTTGCTGATCAGGGCAGGAGAAGCAGGAGGAGGAGGAGGAGGAGGAGGAGGAGGAGGAGGGCAGCAGCAGCTCTTCGTCGGGAGACCAACGGAGCTTCGATTCGGATGGCATCTGGAGACCACCAGACATGCCCAACCGTCCAGAACATGCAACATCTTTTTTTCTCGGCAAAGACTGCACAACCCAAATGCGGCCATACCCCGTCGGTCGCAACCCTCTAAACGCAATGCCGGCCAATCCCCTGGGCGGCTGATGAAAAACGCGCTGACGATGAAGAGATGGCAGAAGGATCCCCGTCGGTCGGAACAGGTGGGCAGAAGCATGAAGCAGCAAGGGGGGGAGGTCGACTGGACTCTCGCCCGCCCCCCGAGGAGGAGAGAAGAGGGACAGCCGCTCGGCTCTTGAGGCGGGAAGGCGCTTCAATGATGTCGGGCGTGTCCCCCTACAGGGGGATTTTCGACGGAAAAAAAACCCAAAAGGTCAAAAAATACTCAAAAATAGTCCCCCGACTATGTTTGGACTGTCTTTTTTGTTTTGATATTTTGAGGGTATGTTTTACTTCTCGTCGAAAATCCCCCTGTAGGGGGACAGGCCCGACTTAACGCTTCAAACGGACTCGGACCTGGGGGCCCAAGCATACAGTCGGGGCGTTGACCTAAGGAACCCTAAATAAGAAACGAGGCCCCTTTTTTCCACAAGTGAAACTTCGATCTGCGATCGAAGACATGAGGAAAGCCTGAGGCGAGCTGTGAAACACTTGAGGAACGCGGAGCCCCTCTCCAACGAAAAGGGTTCCTGCTTCAGGGCCCCGACTGCACCCACCTTCGACGACCGACGAGCAGGCGACCGAGAGGAGGAGGAAGGCTGCGCGGGCAGCGGCGCCGGCGACGCGCGGGGGAGGCGCGCGGGAGCGGCCCGCCGCGCGCCCGCGTCAGGTTCCCGGCGCGTCCGCCCCGGGCCGCGGCACTCCTGCGCCGCGCTCCACCGGCCCCCCCTCCCCAGCGGCGCGGCCTGGGCCCCACTGGCCGATCTGCCCCCCTGGATGGGGATACATATATATATATATATATACATATATATATATACATATATATATATATATACATGCATACATGCATGCATGCATACATACATACATGCATGCATGCATACATACATACATGCATGCATACATACATACATGCATGCATGCATACATGCATACATACATGCATGCATGCATGCATGCATGCATGCATGCATGCATGCATGCATGCATACATACATACATACATACATACATACATACATACCTATATATACATACACATATATACAAGTGGCACGTGTGTGCCCAGGCTCATACAACAAGCTGAAGGGGCGTTCGAAGCAGGAGTGACATGCAACAGCGAAGTCGCACTCGAGCGCAAGTGGGGTTGCCACACCTTGCGATGTGTGTACCAGGGCCCCCCCAGGAAGCCTCAGGAGGCCCGACTTGGATACCAGAAGAGGCTCCAGGAGGCCCCAGGATTGTGAGTGTTGTGAGCTCAGAGGCGATTAATGCGCACGTCGTCCGCGATTGTTCTGGCCGTTTCGCTCGGGACATCCTCGAAATTCTGAAAATCGGTGGCACCCCTCACGCAGATCGTGACGTCAGGGTCCAAAAACACATGGGAATTTGAACATTTTAACACAAAACCTTCAAAAACACATGGTAATTTCAATAATTTTGACCCCGATTCTCAGAGAATGGCGGTTTCGCCTGAGACATCCTCCCAAAATCGAGCCCCAGACCCCTCCTCGGAGCCTCCTGGGGGCCTCCTGGAACCTCCTGGGGCCTCCTGGGGCTTTCTGGACCTTCTGGTACCCCAGACCCCGCCTCGGAGCCTCCTGGAGTTCTCCTGGGCCTGCTGAGGCCGCCTGGGGCCTCCTGGGGCCTCCTGGGGCTTCAGAACTACATGCACACACAGAGACACAAATCACGCCCAACACATCACACGCTAGACAAACATAACATACACACACACAACACCGACAACACACAAAAAGCACGCACCACACAAAGCACACATCACACACACACACACACTCACAATCCTGGGGCCTCCTGGAGCCTCTTCTGGTATCCAAGTCGGGCCTCCTGAGGCTTCCTGGGGGGCCCTGGTACACACATCGCAAGGTGTGGCAACCCCACTTGCGCTCGAGTGCGACTTCGCTGTTGCATGTCACTCCTGCTTCAAACGCCCCTTCAGCTTGTTGTATGAGCCTGGGCACACACGTGCCACTTGTATATATATATATATATATATATACACACTAGAACCACGCGCGCGCTTCGCGCGCGCTTAGGTTCTAGCTAGGATCATTCTCGCTGGGAGTTTGACGTAGCTTCTCGGGAGCCTCTGAACCTGTCGGGGGCCTCCTGGAAGCAGGTTCGAAGCATTTTGGGGGCCGATTTGGGGCTTCTCGGGGCCTCCTTTGGGCCTCTTGGGGGTCTCCTGGGGCCTCTTGAGGGGCCTCCTTGGGGCCTCCTGGCGGCCTCTTGGGGCGGAAGGCTCGAGCTTGCGGTTCGTGGTCCCCCTCTGGGCCCCCTCTTGGGCCCGTCTTGGGGCCCTCTTGGGCCATCTTGGGCGCCTCTTGGGCCGTCTTGGGGCCCTCTTGGGCTGTCCTGGGCCCTCTTGGAAGCTTCTTGGGCCGTCTTGGGGCGGTCTTGGGCGCCTCGTGGGCCGTCCTGTAACGTCGGAAAGCCCAAAAAGCAACTTTGTGAAAAATGTACGTTTTACGAAGGGAATGGGCCAATGTTTGCGTCTAGGGGCCCTCTTGGGACGCATGTTGGAGGCTTCTTGGGGCGTCTTGGGGGCGTCCTTGGACGTCTGGAGGCCATCTTCAGCATCTTGGAGCCCTCTTGGAGTCCTCTTGGAAGTTTCTTGGGCCGTCTTGGGCGCTTCTTGGGCCGTCTTGTCTGACTGGGGAGGCCTCCGGCAAGCCCCGACGAGCCTCCGGGCCCCCCGGGGCTCACATTTGTGGTCGGGGTCCCGGCCCCGGGCCCCCGGACCCGGTGCGCCGTTATATGTATATATATATATACACACACACACACGTGTAATTAGGTCGTTCCCTTCCGGTCCCGCTGGGTGTGTCTCCCCAGCTGGGGTGGCAACTTGGTAGGGGGCCTCGGAGGGGGCGGGGGCGGGGACGGGGACGGGGACGGGGACCGGTGCGGCGCCGCCGCACTCCTGGAGGCGCCCCCTGGGCCAGCAGCTGCTCGCACGCGTCGCAGCAGCCGCGCCGCGGCCCGGGCGGCAGGCCCTGCCCGAAGAACCTCAGCAGCTCCGCGCGCCGGCACGCCGGCGGGGGCGCCAGGCACAGGTCCTGCAGGGCCCGGAGCGAGACCTCCGCGGCCTGGCGCGGCTTCCCGCGGAGGCCCCAGAGGTAGAACTTCTGCGCCTCCCGGCAGGGCCGGACCGAAACGGCGCTGTGCGTTCTGCTTTCGCTCCGTGTTTCGGGTTGTCTCTGGCTTCTCTGGCACAAAAAAAAAAACATAACACAGAGCTGGATCGAGTCCAGCAGAACAGCGCTTCGGCCCAGCCCTGCCTCCTGGAAGTCCTCCTCGGTGGCCAGGAGCACGCAGGAGCTCGGCAGCCCGTCGCGGCCGGCGCGGCCGACCTCCTGGTAGTAGCTCTCCATGGTCGCCGGGGGGCAGTAGTGGATCACCCGCCGGATGTTCGGCTTGTCGACGCCCATGCCGAACGCCACGGTGGCCACGCACACCGGCATGGCGCCGCTGAGGAAGGCGCGGTGCGTCTGCTCGCGCTGGCCGTCGGTCATGCCCGCGTGGTAGAAGCCCACGACGCGGGCGGCGTTTGGCACGGCCGCGGCAGCCAGGTCCTGCTTGAGCTTGTCGGCGATGCGCTCTGCCATGACTTTCCTCACGCAGTACACAATGGTTGGCCCGATGCCGCCGCCCGAGCGAGCCTCCGCGCGAATCAGGTCAACCAGGAAGTCCAGACAACCGGTGATGCGGGGCCTGGCCTGAATGAACAGATTGGGCCGATCGAAAGAGCCCACACTCACGTGTGGGTCTCTCAGGCCGAGGTTGCGGATAATGTCTTGGCGGACCCGCGGAGTCGCAGAGGCCGTCAAAGCCATGAGGGGAACGCCTGGCACCTCCTGGCGGATGCGCCCGAGGTGCGAATACTCGACACGAAAGTTGGGCCCCCACTGCGAGATGCAGTGGGCCTCGTCCACAGCAACCAGCTTCAGCACGCCCCGTGCGGACAGCTCCGACATGATGCGGAGAGGACTCTCGTGGTCGCGGAGCAGCGTCTCCGGCGCCATGTACACGACTCGGTACTCACCGCGGGCGAACCGGGCCTCCACGTCGGGATCCGCCTGCGCGGAGCCCAGAAACGTGGCCGCATGCCGCGCGCCCTTGCCCGCGAGGCCATTGAGCATCATGACCTGATCCTGCATCAGCGCGATCAGCGGCGAGACCACGACGACGCAGCCTGCGTCCGAGGCGAAGGCCGGGATCTGGTAGCACAGGGACTTCCCAGAGCCCGTCGCCCAGAACATGCAGCTGTCGCGCCCAGCCAGGGCGGCGGCGATGACCTCCTCCTGACCGCCGCGGAAGTCGCTCTTGCCGAAGACTGTCTCGAGGATCTGCCTGGGGTCGGCGCCATCCGTCGACCGCGGCGCGGCGGCCGCGGCGTCGGCGGCCTCCGGCCCCGGGGCGCCGGACGTCCCGTGGAGGCTGCCCCCGCCGACGCAAGGCAGCCGAGGGCAGTTGTGCGCCCCTGCCGCCTGCTCGGGCTCTGGCGCGGGCTCGGCAGCGGCGCAGCGGAGGCGCGCGACGAGCTCCGCCTTCCTGCCGGACACTCTGCGGCCCAGTCTGCGCAGCCTCGCCTTCAACTCATCGACGCGAAGCCCCTCGATGTCGGGCCGCTCCGCCGCTGCGGCCTCTCGGAGGCGCGCGACGAGCTCCGCCTTCCTGCCGGACACCTTGCGGCCAAGCGCCTTCAGTCTCCCCTTCAGCTCCGCCACGCGCAGGCTGCCGAGATCCTCCTCGGCCGCCGGCCCTCCGTGCGCCGCCGGCGCCGCCGCGGCCGCGGCGCGCACCTCCTCCAGGGCGGCCTGCATCTCGGCCGCCGGCAGCTGGCGCCGCCGCACCCTCAGGAGGCCCCGCCGCGCCCCCTCGCGGCGGGCCCAGGCCTCAGGCCGCCGCCGCGCCACGGCGCCGGCCGCCGCCGCCGCCACGGCGAGCAGCGCGGGTGAGGGCGGGGGAGGCAGGCTGGGCGCGGGCGGGGCCGCGCGCGCGGCCGCGGGCACCGGCGCGCCGCCACAACCGCCGCGCGGCGGGCGGCCCGCGCCCTGCATCATGGCTGGCTCCCGCTCCTGCTCCGGCGCAGCGCGGGGCCGAGCGACGGCGCGAGGACGCCGTCTGCGAGGGGCTGGCCGCGTGCGGGCCCTGGGCGAGGGCGAGGGCGAGGGCGAGGGCGACGGCGCCGACGCCAGACGACGACGCGGGCCAGGGGCAGAGGCGGCGCGGAGGGGCGGCCGCCCGACTGGCCGCAGCCAGGGGAGCTGTGCGCCTTGCCCCCCCGGGCAGAACCCATCACGTCGACGATCTCTCGAGAGCATGGGTTGGCTTCGCTGGCAGCCGTCTTCGCCCGGTAATCTTCGTCGGGGTCGACTCCTCGGGCGCTGCTTCATCGAGGGGCCACAAACTGCGGGGTGTAGAAAGGTCCACCTTTCGTGCGCATGTGGGGTCCCAGGGAGCCCCTTCAGGGCTCCTTTCCTGAAGTTCCCATTTACCAAACGCCCGAACTTCGCCGCGGTCGTCTCTGCGGGGGGGGCCATCGTATCGACGGTCTCTCGCAAGGGGCGTCGAAGCCGACGGGTGCCCCAGGGGGACACGACAATTCGCCGGCCCAACGGGCCAGAGGCGTGCTAAGATCTCCGGTAACTGGTTAACAATTCTCTAGTTCGCGCGCGCGGGGCGGCCCCTGGGGGGTCCCCGGACGAAAAATACCCCGGGCGAGTCCCGGCTGATCCCTGGGCGACTCCACCAGAGCGCTCCATGAGCGCACCAACAGGGCTCCGAGACGTCCCCGAGAGCCCCAAGAAAGGCCAAGAGGCCCCCAAGAGGCCCCCAAGATGGTACACGAGGGGTCCGACATGCCACAAGATCGCTCCAACCCGCCCAAGATAGCCCCCAGACGCCCCAAGATAGCCCCCAGACTCCCAAGAGGGCCCCAGGAGGCAAAATTCATTGCTTTTCCTTAGGTTTTTGAGAAATTTTGGAGCTTCCACCTTTTCGGCTGCCCGACGCCCCAAGACGGCCCAAGAGGCCCCCAAGATCGCCCCAAGAGGGCCCAAGAGGCCCCCAAGAGGGCCCCAAGATGACCCAAGAGGGCTCGAAGACGGCCCAAGAAGCCTCCAAGACGGTCCAAAAGGGCCCCAAGAACGCCCCCAAAGGGGCCCCAGAGAGGGAACACGAAACAACATTTCGAGCCCTCGGCCCTAAGAAGCCCCACGAGGCCCCAAGAGGCCCCTAAGAGGCCCCAAGAGGCCCCCACGAGGCCCTCAGGAGGCCCCCAAGAGTCCCCCAAGCGGCCCCAGGAGGCCCCCCAAATGCCCCCCCGAGCACGCAAGCAAGTGCAAGCGATGCTACAATGTGCTCTCCTTTCGGTAGACTCCCAACGGGGCCCCTACAGACTTGCAACAAGCGTCAAGAACCTGCCCAAAAAGCACTGTCCAGGAGCGTTCACAAGTGCCGCGAAGAAGCCCTCCTTACGCCGTAAAGCCCGGAAAGCCGGGTGGGGTCAGCTGTTCTTTTCACCACCGCGCCCTCTCACACAATGGCTTCCGCACGCCGCCCAGAGCGCGACGTTCGGCTCATGCCCCCAGAACGCTCCAGGAGCGCGCCAAAACGGCACGAAACAATCCAAGCGGCCTCAAGTCGCCGAACAGTCGTTCCAAATCGCCCAAGATGACCTCAAAATTGCCGTCGAGGCCGCCAAGAAGCCCCAAGAGAGCCCCAAGAGGCCCTCCAAGACGGCCATTACAATCAAAAATCGCCCCATTCCCAGAGGAACATGTACACTTCCCGCATGAACGGCGTTTCGAGTTTCAGCCCCCAACATCGCCCCGAGACAGCCCAACAATCCGCTAAAATCGGCCCAAGACGGCCCAAGATAACCCCAAGACGGCACAAGAGAGCACCAAGACCGCCCAAGAGGCGCCCAAAGGGGGATTCTGCCCCTAGGAGCACCTCAGAAGCCACCAACATCCCGCCAATAAGTCCCCCAAGACGCCCCAAGAACCACCCAAGAAGCCCAACAAGAAGCCCCAACGACCCCCAAACGGCCCTTACGGGGCCTCAAGAGGCTTCAACACTGCCTCCAAGAGGTTCCCGAGACGCCTGGCAAAAAAAAACCCAAAGCGCCGCATTGACACCAGGCCCTCGGGCAAACGGCAGACATGAGACTGTATGGGCCGGCGGAATGAGCGAAGCGATTAAATAAATCCCACGGCAGGTACATACGAGAATGACGACGAATCCTGCTATGAGAAATCCTGGTGCACGTCTGTCGCTGGAATCTGGCTTCCAGAGATGTCCGAAGGCTCATGTGGGTCCCCCAGGGCCATCGGGAATCCGAAATCCCCGCAGGGCACCTGCTCGGAGGCCGGCTTCTCATTTGATGTACCTACTGCACGACAGGTCCACATCGTGATGATGCTGGCATCCGTCTCTGACACTCCGTGAGTTTTTCGGTCTGGAACGACCGCCGCTTTTCGACGCCGGGGATCGCCCAATTCTGCGGACAAACTCGGGCAGCTGGTGGAGCTCAGCCTCGAGCGCCCGCACTCTGGCGTCGTCGCTGCGCCAGCGCGGCGCGCCGCAAGGCGTGACCAGCGGCGGCGACGTCGCAGCCGTCGCCACCAGGCGTCCTCCGATACGAGTTGCTCTATCCGCGGCTCCAGGGCCCCCGCCCTTCCCAGGGGCCAAGCTTCCGCCCTGGATCCCTTTTTGAAGGCCCAGGGGCCCGACAAAGGACCCCAGAGGTCAAACAAGTACAGAGAGAGGGAGAGAGGCCCCCTAGATGGGGTCGGAGCAGGCGGGGTCGGAGGATCAGGCTGCATCGCCGACACATCGGCGATGCGCCCATCTACTCGGGCCCCATCTATAGGAGGCCCAGGGTATAGCAAAACGCACATGCCACATCGTTCGAGTAGGGGATCGACTACAACATTGATTTACCCCAACCTTGTTTTGTTCGTTGTCTACCAAGGAACTCCGTAGAACATTCTACGCATTCGTTCGTAGATTCGACGGCAAATCAAATTGCGCTAAGTCAATTCTGTAACTAGTCGGTCCCCTGTTCGAATCGTCGGAGATCGACGTCGCAGTCGCCGACGTCGATCGACGCCGACGGCGGCGACTTTGCCTCCACCGCCCGCGCGCGGGCCCGCGCCGGAGGAGGGGGGAGGAGGAGGAGGAGGAGGAGCAGGAGAGGAGGAGGAGGAGGAGGAGGAGGAGGAGGAGGAGGAGGAGGAGGAGGAGGAGGAGGAGGAGGAGGAAGAGGAGGGGTGGAGGGAGGAGGAGGAGGAGGAGGAGGAGGAGGAGGAGGAGGAGGAGGGTCGAGGCCGGATGGCCAGCCCCGAACTCAACCAGATGAGATCGGCACCAGGATAAGGCGATGCCAAACACGGGGGCGGGGATCTGTTCCTCAGAGCTGGTGGCCAGAGCAGCGGACTCCGTGGCCTGCGGCGAGGTGGACCCAGCAGTCCAGCAGGCGGTCGGGCCACCGGCGGGGCGCGTCCGAAGCTGTGGTTGCGAACGGCCAGAGATTACCAGCCTGGAACAGATCCCTATCCCTATGTTGGGGGCATCGCCTCATCACGATGGCGATCTTAGGGATTTCCTCAGTTTCTGAGGGTGTATCCCTAAGACTGCCATCTCCTTCTAGCGTGTCAATATTAGGGATAGGGATACGTTGGAGGCTGATGAAGAGAGCTCTCAGATCACGTGGATCTTCCAGCGGTGCCGGCGGTCGGGCCCATGGTCTCCACGACGGCGCAGCCGGGCGGAGGACGTGCCGCGGAAGGCAGAGGCCCAGGGGCAGAGAGAAGCGGAACACCCCACGTCTTGAAAAATCGAGACGGGGGGTTTTCGTCGTGTTCGGCTCCTGGGGGCCCTCGCCGGGCCCCAGGACCGTCCACGGTCGCCTCGGGACAAGAAGCAGGCCCTGGGGAAAGGGTCGGGCCCCGTATGGAACAAAAACACGACATCGGATGTCTGTGTGTGGGGTGGGGGGGGGCGAAAATAAAGATCGCAACTAGTTTTTCATGATTGTCGTCTGGGTGTTGGCATGTCTGGGGTGGGGGGGGGGAGGGCGAAAATAGAGGTAGCAGCTAGCTTTTTATGATTGTCGTCGTCCGGGTGTTTGGCATTCATTTGAATTTCCACCCGTGTGGAACGACAGCGGGGCATCGGATGTCCGGGGGGGAGGGGAGGGGGCGGACAGCCTGGGCACGGGCACGACACGCATTCGCCGGGGAGCCTCGTCGGAGACGCGGGCCGTCGGAGCACCTGGAAGCACGGTGCTCGGCGGCGCACAGGCGGGGCTCCGAGGGGCGGGGCCGCAAGGGTCGAGCGGCTTCGAGCTGTGAGGCTTCAGCGCGGACAGTGCTCCCCCCGTGCGACTGTCCGCCCAGGGCGCTGCCCGTGACCGACGCCTCCACCGAGGCCTTCGGGCCATGCCTCGTGGCACCGGCGGCCGTTCGGGGCGATCCCGGCCTTCCCGGAACGCTCTCGACAGGAAGCCAACCCAGGCCTCGAAGACATTCGAACAACATTTCGACCGACATGCCAAGGCCTTACGGCCTGCGCCACCGACCCTGCTGGAGGAGGGCGGCGGCGGCGACGACGACGACGACGACGGCGACGGCGACGGCGACGACGACGGCGGCGGCGGCGGCGGCGGCGCGACAAGGACGACGACGACGACGACGACGACGACGACGACGACGACGACGACGCCGGCCGCCGACGCCCCTAGCAGCTGCCCTGCGGTGGGGCGGCAGCGCCCCCGGGAGCCTCCCGCCGCCCCAGCACCTCGTGCATGCACGGCGCCTGCCGGCGGGCAGGCCCGGCCCGGGGGCTGCGCGTCCTCGTCGATGGCCTCCTCGTCCTCCTGCTCGTCCTCGTCCTCCCTGCTCGTCCTCCTCCTCCCTGCTCGTCCTCGTCCTCCTCGTCCTCGTCCTCGTCCTCGTCCTCCTCGCCGATGGCCTCCTCCCAGACGCTCGCCAGTGCTCGGGAGCGCCAGGGAGCGCCTGGGAGCGCCTAATTACTGGGAGCGCCTGGGAGCGCCTACTGGGAGCGCCTGGGAGCGCCTGGGAGCGCCTGGGGGCGCCTAGGAGCGCTTGGGAGCGCCTGGGAGCGCCTGGGAGCGCTTGGGAGAGCGTGGGAGCGCTTGGGACCGCCTGGGTCAAGGGCCAGCCGCGGGAGCGAAGGCTCGAGGCGTGAGTGGGCGGCGGATGCCCGCCGCCCGCGCCCCCGCGCCAGCAGCAGCAGAGCAGCACGGGGTGGTGGACAATGAAAGAGAGAGAGAGAGAGAGAGAGAGAAACAAAAAAAAGGGAGAGAGAGAGAGAGAGAGAGAACAAAACAAAAAAACCTGCTCGGTCCACATCCCCACCAGAGAGGCGAGCGAGAAGCTGATGATGCGCTGCAACATGCCACCGGGCGCGAGGTAGCAGACAAAGTCAGAACGGGGATGGTAGAGCCGGATGCGAGAGAAGTCGGGAGAGCCACGTGGCTACCGCACTGTGGGCTCGCGGGGCGGCGCTTTGTTTCGCCCACTGCCTCTTTCGCCCCCCGCGGGCCGTTCGACGGGGAAAAGCTAGCATCTCAACCCGCGCGAATCCGCACGAACATGGGAGCGGGGCGACGGCGTGGTTTGCACCAGGAACAGTAAAGTGATGATGCAAGGTTGGATGAGGGACCATAAGCATGAGGATGAATGCCAACAAGAGCAATATGCAAATGGAGAGGCAGGAGAGAGACAAGAACGCGCAGCACGGGCTCGCTGGAGCTAACCCCTCGGGCGCCGCTGACCAATGATAGGGCACGCCGAACAGCATGTGGCACATCAACCCCCAGACCCTGCACCATCATCGCAACCAGTAGAAATACTTCAAGATGTAGGAACACACAGCTCAGATAAAAGTCAAGCGAGAAACCCATAGTGAGAATGAGCCAAGCCGCCCTGCACCCGTGTAACTGTTGCACGGTTCTGTGTCGGGAAATTAAACCCAGAGGAAGGATTTAGCGATACACCCACTTTGACATGGAACGGCCCCCATAAGTGTGCGCGGCCCCAAGACGAGAGACTTCCTTCCCAAACAGTGCTTGCGCCAAGGGGTTCTTACTTCTCGCCTGAGGAAGTGGAGTGGGTCAGGCGGTCGGTCTGCAAGCTGTGTGGCCGCCATCGCCGCCCCGTCGCCGCCTCGTCGCCGCCCGTCGTCTGCGGACGTTCTGTCTGGCAGCTGCGGCCGCCGTCGCCGCACCGTCGCCGCCCCGTCACCGCCTCGTCGCCGCAGCAAGGATTGCATCATATAGATTCCCCTTTCGAAAACAAGAATAGACTCTACCCCCCCCGAATTAACGATCCACCTTTCCGTATTGCAATTTACATGCGATTCTGCCCCATCTTCCATCCTAAACATGAGCTCGTACTATCCCAGCCAAACCGGTATCACTCCCCCCCGCCATCCTCTGCAACAAATACAATGCGCGCACTCTCGTTGATCAAAAATGCTGAGTTTCCAAGAACCCCTTGCAAAAAGTGGGACGAAGTGCACACGCGCGCGTCGTCGCGCGCATGCCGAAATCCCTCAAGAACCTTCGGTTTCGGAAAGATGTCAAAATCGAGTCTCAAAAAACATGCAGTTTCGCAACACGGATTTTCAACAACAGCTTACGCGCGCGCCCTTGCGAAATCTGAAGGAAACCATGGGTGTTTCAAGATTCTCAAAAAGCAAATACTACCAAACGGGCTTCCCGCGCGCGCATGTCGAAATCTTTCGAACGCCCTTGCGCGCGTACGGTCGCGAATCCTCTGCCAAGAAAACAAGACAAATAGAAGACGCGCGCCTCGTCGCGCGCGCGCATACCGAAATCCTTCAAAAACCTTCGGCTCCGGAAGGATTTCAAAATCGAGTTTCCAAAAAACATACAAAAACACAAGGATTCGCAACACGGACTTTCAACAAAAGCGTGCGCGCGCGCTCTTGCGTCGTCGTCGTCGTCGTCGCCGTCCTCCCTCCACCCTCGTCGTCGTCGTCGCCGTCGTCGTCCTCTGTCTTTCCTCGTCGTCGTCGTCGTCTTGGCGTCGTCGTCGTTTCCGTCGTCGTTGTCGCAGTGGCCGTCCTTCCTCTTCCCTCGACGTCGTCGTCCGTCGTGGGCGTCTCGTCGTCGTCCCTCCTGTTTCGTCGCCGTCGTCGTCGTCGTCGTCGTCGTCATCGTCGTCGTCGTCGTCGTCGTCGTCTTCCCTCCTCCCTCGTCGTTGTCGTCGTCGGCGTCGCCGTCCTCCCTCCTTCTTCGTCGTTCGCGTCGTCGCCGTCCTCCCTCCACCCTCGTCGTTGTCGTCGTCGGCGTCGTCGTCCTCCCTCCTCCCTCGTCGTCGTCGTCTTCGTTGGCGTCGTCGTCGTCTTCGTCGTCGTCGTCGTCGGCGTCGTCGTCGGCGTCGTCGGCGTCGTCGTCGTCGTCGGCGGCGTTGTCATCGTCGTCGTCGGCGTCGTCGTCGTCATCGTCGTCGTCGGTGTCGTCGTCGTCGTTGTCGTCGCCGTCGAAGTCGTTGGAGACGTCGTCGGTGTCGTGGTAGTCGGTGTGAGCGGCGTCGTCGTCGTCGTCGTTGTCGCTGTCGTCGTCGGCAACAGTGTCGTTGCCCAGTACCATTTGGTACCTACTGTCACAGTCTTAAGAGGTCGTGCGACCAAGTTGCGGGTGGGACGGTGGGATGTTTGCACGAGCAGTGGAGAGGACAGATTCAAGACAGTAGAAATGATTTGCACCACATAGATTGATCCGCGTGAGTTGCACAACATATATTGTACCATATAGATTGCACCACACATATTGCACCAAAAAGACTGCACAACGTAGAGTGCTAGAATCACACTGTCTGGCGTCTACGCTGGCTAACATTTGTTGTCGAGGAACCGTGCCTCATCCGCGTGCATGTTGGAAGTGTCGAGCTTCGTGGTGATGAAGCGCGGAAGCGTCTGAAACAAAACGCCAAGACACCCTGTCGACGTGTCTGGTGATGAGACGTGGAGTTACTTGTAAGGAAGAGGGAAGGATGAGGAGTAAACATGACAAGGGAGGGGTCGAGAGGAGGATCGGGCGGGAGAAGGGGAGGAGAGCGGAGGAACAGAAAGAGGAGCAGGAGAAACAGGAGGAAACCGGAGCAGGATGAGGAGCAGGGTCAAAATGGGGAGGATGATGGCCCAGCTTGTCTCCCCCGTCTACTGCTGCTGCCCTTCCCCGTCGTATGCCTCCCACTTCTCTTTCCTCTGGCGAGGGCCAGCCTTTCCAGCCCGAGTCACCGAGTCAGCGAGGAGGAGCAGAACGAGGAGGAGGCTCATGCAAGACTTGGTGGCTGGTGGGGACGTGATGTGGGAAGAGCGCTGCGGCCCGTGACCTTCGGCCCCAGGAACACGTCGTCTGGGCAGTCGAGCACGCCCGCCGACATGAGGTGCATGGCGGAGCGCACGATGGCATTCGGCTCTCCGCGAGGATCACTAAAGTCTGAGAATCCTTCGCAGCCACGGCCGCTCTCTGGGGCCGGTTCGGGTGGAGCGGGGAAGCTGCTTCCCCGCCTCCTCGGAAGCAGTGCGAACAGAAGACACTTTGAGCATGACAGGTGGAGGTGTGACATTGTGGCTCCGATCTTTGAGAGGCACCACGTGATGGAAGCTAGCTGATCCAAAAATATTGCGTTGGTCGGTGCGCAACCAAAACTGCAATGCTCGAGCGGAAGGGCAGCAGCCGGGGCAGGAGAGATGGATACAGCCGTGGGAGCATTCGCACTGGGTCAGACACTCCTGACCTTGCGCAGAGGCCCATGGCGTCTCGCTGACATCACTCACAGTCCCATGCCACGAGACGCCCGACTGAGACGCTCTCAAGTGTTGGCCTCCGCACAAACAAGATAGACGCGCTGAGTCGTTCTTGCACTCACCACCTAGCACGGCCTCAGTACGACGCTAAACACCGGGCTGCGAATACGATCCCAGCCCGCACCCAAAACAACGAACTCGTGCACAATGCGTGGCGTCCTGAGGAATGGCAATCCATGCCAAGCTATGCGAGCCAAGGCAGTGCAGAGCAACGCAAAGCAAGAAAGCCACGCGCAGCCCACGGGGCTCAACCGATGGCCACGAGAGAGCGCGCTCGTGGCGCACTCCCAAAGGCGGGGGGGTCCCCCCTTAGCTGCTCCCCCCCCCCTTGGACCTGCCCTGCCGGAAGCCCTCCCCCCCCCCTCCTTTTTGTTCCGCCCCTCGGATCTACCCCCCGCCCCCTCTCTTTCGCGCTCGGGAACCTGCCCCCCACCTCCCTGTCCAAAGAAAGGGGGGGGGCCTTAACTACGAGGGCGCGCCGCGGGATAAGCCCAAGGGGGGAGGGGGTGGGACCCCCCCCCCGCCCTTTCCCCGATCCGTCGTCGGGGAACTCTCCCCCCCCCCCTCCCCCCCCTTACCCGGTCCGTCGTCGGGGACCCCCCCCTCCCCCCCCGGTCCGTCGTCGGGGACCCCCCCCCCCCCCCCTTTCAAAAAGGGGTGGGGGGGGCGGACCCCCCCCCCCCTTTGGCCGCCAAACTCGAACCCCCCCCCTCACCCCTTCGGCACGGCGCCCCCTGGCTCCGGAACCCGACCCTTACCACCCCTAACACTACCACCCCGACCACCCGTAACCCGAACCCCAAAACCTACCTATACGACCACCCATCGGGTGATAAGGAGGTCCAGGTGGGGGAGGAACCAACGCCTCACTCGATCGGCCTCACTATCGATCCCACGATCGATATCACGATCGGTCTCGCTCGATCGATCTCACTCGATCGATCTCACAATCGATCTCACTCGATCTATCTCATTCGACCGATGTCACAATCGATATGACGATCGATCTCGCAAACGATCTCATTATCGATCTCACGATCGATCTCACAGTCTATCTCACATTGGGTCTCACTATCGATCTCACGATCGATATCACAATCGATATCACAATCAACGTCATCATCATCCATATCATCGTCATCAACGTCACCAACATCATCATCACCGGGGCACCATCATCATCACCTCATCACCATCACCATCAAAATCATCATCATCACCATCATCATCGGGACACCTGGGGCGGAACCAACGTCTCACTCGATCGGTCTCACTATCGATACCACTATCGATCTCCCTATCGCTCTCGAACGATCGATTCACTCGATCGATCTCACATTCGATATCACTCGACCAATTTCGCTCGATCGACCTTACAATCGATTTGACTATCGATCTCAAAAGCGATCTCACGATCGATCTCACGATCGATCGCATAATCGATGTCACATTCGACCTCACGATCGATCTCACGATCGATCTCGCAATCGATCTCACAATCATGGTCATCATGGTCATTATCATCAACATCATCGCCATCAGCATCATC